ATGAACAGATTCGCCTGATAGCAAGTTCAATCTCCATTATATAAAGGCTCGTTTGAATTTAATTTGTTAAATTTTTATTTCATTTAGATTTGAATTTAAATTTAAATACATTAAAAATTTAATAAACAAATCTAATTATACTAAATTTCGCTCGTTAGTTTACTTGTTTAATATTTATTAAATAATAAAATAAATATATTATTTATATATTAAATAATACAAAAATATGTATAAAAAATAGAATAAGTATTGTTATTTATATATTTAAATAATACAAATATAAATAATAGCTAAATTTATTTATATAATAATAGTTAATTATAAATAATACATTTATATAATAAGTGGTAGATCGTATTGTTTTAGTAAGATATTGACTTTTTTTTACTAACATTGTATAATCTAATATTACAATTGTAATTTTAATCTCATACGCAAGTATGAATTTATAATTTTTTTGGCTCATTAAGACTCATGAATAGACTCGAACTCGAAATCAAGTCTAGGCCAATTCGATTCGACCTCGGTTCGTTAAATTTTTTTGAGTTCAAATTTAAACTCGTTAAATATTAACAAACAAACCCAAACGTACTCAATATCGCTTCAGCTCAGTTCGGTTCGTATGCAGTCCCAAGTGTAGTCTCTTTCCTTATCGCTAAATAATAAATAAAGGAAAGTTACATTTCAGTGGGGTAGCGAGAAAAAATTACATTTTTATGATGGTGCAACTCTTTTATGTACATAGTGTAAATTCATTCATGTGCTTGTGCAAGTCTTACTGTGTGACAGAGTTAAACCCAAAAAAAAAAAAAAATTCATTGTAGTGCAATTATTTGATGACGCTGTTAATATATTTTCAATTTCTCCATAAATAAATAAGAATAAATTATAAATACACTCTCTGAAATTTATTAAAAATACAGATTGTCTCCTTTGTTTTTTGAAAATTCAAATTGTTTTATTAAAAAAAAACTATTTACAAAATTAACAGAAAAATAAATTTTGAACTACTCTCCTATACAATAATATAATTACTTGAATTGTTATTAAAATATATTTTTACTATCAATAAAAATTATTTATTAAATTTATTTATTAATAAAAGTACTCGTTTATTATGTAATTAAAAATTTAAAAAGATAAAATATAATTTTTTAAATTATAAAAATAATTCCTATTTTAAAAAATTTAAAAGTTATATTTATAATTTACTCAATAAATAATACTTCGTGGTCCATGAAAATTTATTGTAAATATATATTCCAAATAAGTACTAAAAGTTGAACCAAAAGAATTCAAATTTAAAAAACATGCTACACACGTGCAAACAAACACAAAAAGTATACTCTGACGTATGTGAGCATGTCACACCAATCTGCAGACCTCTAATTAGAGGTCATGCCGTACAGCTCTAATCCTCTAATTAGAGGTCATGCCGTACAGCTCTAAAGATGACAGTTCGGAAATATAAAAAAAAAATAGTGAAGTAAAAGACAAAAATAGGAGAAGAAAAAGACAAATAAGAGGTACATTAGAGGTATTTTTTTAGAGGTCTAAATCATTTTTCCGTGTCACACACATAGAGTTATGTCGGCCATTAATAGAATTTTTTTTTTTTTTTTTTGGTAAATTACACTTGCCTCTACACTTTACATAAATCTCACTTTACCTGCCTTACTCCCTCCCTCCCTCCCTCTCTCTTTAATTTTTGGTCACCTCCATCCCTCTTAACAGCTCCATTGTAGGAGCAAAAAACAATTTGACTAGCCAAATAAATTACACCTGACACTAGTGGAAGGGTTAACCCTTCCATTGCAGATGCCCTTAGAGCAGCAAATGAACAGATTCGCCTGATAGCAAGTTCAATCTCCTTTAGTTTGAATTTAATTTGTTAAATTTTTATTACATTTGGATTTGAATTTGAATTTAAATTCATTAAAAATTTAATAAACAAATCTAATTATACTAAAATTCCGCTCGTTAGTTTACTTGTTTAATATTTATTAAATAATAAAATAAATATATTATTTATATATTAAATAATACAAAAATATGTATAAAAAATAGAATAAGTATGTTATTTATATATTTAAATAATACAAATATAAATAATAGCTAAATTTATTTATACATAATAATAGTTAACTATAAATAATTCATTTATATAATAATAGTGGTGGATCGTATTGTTTTAGTAAGATATTGATTTTTTTTTTACTATACTGTATATATAATTGTATAATTAAAATTACAATTGTAATTTTAATCTCATACGCAAGTATGAATTTATAATTTCCTTAGCTCATTAAGACTCATGAATAGACTCGAACTCAAATCAAGTCTAGGCCAATTCGACTCGACCTCGGTTCGTTAAATTTTTATTGAGTTCGAATTTGAACTCGTTAAAATCTTAACAAACAAATCCAAACGTACTCAATATCGCTTCAGCTCAATTCGGTTCGTATGCAGTCCCAAGTGTAGTCTCTTTCCTTATCGCTATAATAATAAATAAAGGAAATGTTACATTTCAGTGGAGTAGCGAGAAAAAATTATATTTTTATGATGGTGCAACTCTTTTATGTACATGGTGTAAATTCATTCATGTGCATAGTGCAAGTCTTACTGTGTGACAGAGTTAAACCAAAAAAAAAATTTCATTTGCAGTGGAATTATTTGATGACTGCTTCATATATTTTCAATTTCTCCATAAATAAATAAGAATAAATTATAAATACACTTTCTGAAATTTATTTAAAATACAGATTGTCTCCTTTGTTTTTGAAAATTGCAAATACTGTTTTATTAAAAAAAAAAAACTATTTAACAAAATTAACAGAAAAAATAAATTTTGAACTACTCTCCTATACAATAATATAATTACTTGAATTGTTATTAAAATATATTTTTACTATCAATAAAAATTATTTATTAAATTTATTTATTAATAAAAAGTAATCATTTATTATGTAATTAAAAATTTAAAAAGATAAAATAT